CGCCAGTCAGACCTCCGGCAACCGCATGAACATGTTCATTACCATGGAGAGAGACGTGTGCAGGAGTCCAGACGATACGCACCAGGCGTAATGAGCACTATTGCCCCGTGGAACAAAATACAAGTCACTTAAAACAAACGTTTTAGTCGCCTTTGCAGCCCAGTTCTATGCCAGGCGAACGCCGAGGTTTTCCGCCAGCTTCATGCCGATAACCATTCATACCGCTCTTGCAAGAGACTAGCCATACATGCTCATATTTTGAGGCTGGCTTACGTTACTGAGCTGGCCACCATACATGACGGATTGGCAGCACCGCTACATTTTCTTCCACCTGACAGATGCTCTCAGCTCACCATTCGTACGAATATACAATGAGTATCGGCATATGTCACTCTCAGATGATCTTGCCGCCTCCGCATCTGTGTGGTTACGTGTTCAGTGGGTGGCCAGGGCCACTTTGCCGGACCTTGGCAAAGGTGATTTGGCAGCCCACCCACAAGTTACGCCAGACTCACTACCACATTTTCCTGAGGGCGCTCAAGGACGTACCACACCAGCTCTTACATCTCTTTGTGGATCAGACCTCACTGGTGGTTTAACCCGCCGAAAGGAGGTTACGTTGCGGAGGCTTCGTGTTGGGGTTGTGCTTACCTTAACCACCCTTAGGGCACATAAGTACCACATATGGTACATCGTGCTTATTTTGCAATGAACCAATCCACAATGTAACTGCCACATACTTATTGTGGACTTGCACAGGTTTACAAATAAGCCATCGTCGTCACCTTTGTGCAACAGGCACTATTTCACTGAAGCCTTGCTTTGTGCTACATCTGATAGAATTAGTACAATATAATGATCTTTTTTTTTTCAACAATAACTGCCATTAATCCTGTAATTCCGATATGTATATGTGCTCTAACAAATTTTCATTCTTTACATTTTCTCCTTGCAATCAGGGTCTTCAAACATTGTTTGGACAAATGTTCTTTTGCACAGCAGAGGGGACAGAAAAGAGAACAAAATGCTGACTTCAACAGTTTATTTCTTTTCAAAAAGGTATTTATAGTGTCAGCGAGAACCACAACAGCTATGTTTAGAAAACAGCAATACCACACAGAAAATCAAAATGGTGCAAGCCTGAGGTACTTTCCCTTATCAGCAAGAGCAATAGAGGGAGTACAAATGCAATAATCCTTGAAACAAAGTTTTTTTCTGCTTCAATAATTTTGGAGAAATGACAAAACTGCCACCAATAATTATTTTAAGAGAACCCGACGTTTCGAAACCGGTCCGGCTTTGAAACAAGTTTTCCTAAAATAACTTTTGGTTGGAGTTTTCTCATTTCTCCAGTTTCTGTCCCAACTAGACAAACTTCTGCAAAATGTTCACCTTTGATTCTATTAATTCACATGTATTCTCTTCTGTGTCCTCTGGTGTTCTCTTGCTGTCACTAAATCTTAAGCACAATGTACCAGCAGACCAAGTCCTACACTCTTCTTGAACAGATTCCAGGTGCTGACTGCCTATCATAAAAAAAGTTCGACTTTTTTGTCAGGCTGTTAGTACTTCAGCCCTGCTTTTAAATTATGTCAGCTGAGCTCCCGATTCATGTTTCAAGTCATTATGGAAATGACCTAACCTAAAAGGTCAACCTTTTGCAAACCATATGTAGCCGAGGCATCTGCTGTTGATTCTTAGTTCTAGTCTCCTTCCCAACTTCAACATGTCTTATACGGTAGCAGTGAATATTACTAGAGAGATTATCATGCCTGTCCCTTTCTTGATTGATATTACTTTACTTTCCATGTGGATTCCCGGCTGCGGCGGCTGCATTTCTGATGGAGGCGGAAATGGTGTAGGCCCGTGTGTTCAGATTTGGGTGCACGTTAAAAAACCCCAGGTGGTCGAAATTTCCGGAGCCCTCCACTACGGCGTCTCTCATAATCATATGGTGGTTTTGGGACGTTAAACCCCACATATCAATCAATTACTTTCCAAGTGGAACATAAGAACAGCTGTGATATCTGCATTGACATTTCCCAGGTATTCATGTACATGTGCTCCAGCCCCGCCACGGTGGTCTAGTGGCTAAGGTACTCCGCTGCTGACCCGCAGGTCGCGGGATCAAATCCCGGCTGTGGCGGCTGCATTTCTGATGGAGGCGGAAATGTTGTAGGCCCGTGTACTCAGATTTGGGTGCACGTTAAAGAACCCCAGGTGGTCGAAATTTCCGGAGCCCTCCACTACGGCGTCTCTCATAATCATATGGTGGTTTTGGGACGTTAAACCCCACAAATCAATCAATCAATCAATCAATCAACATGTGCTCCAAAAGTAAAACGAAGCATGTGAGCGCTGGCCAAGCTACACCTGCAGTGCACCTGGAGTACACTGGCTGTACTTCTTGACCTAAGATATATAGTTGTCTGTAATTGCAACAATCTCGAAGAATACTTGTACCTCCAACTATACTAGCTATGCAGATATTTGTTATTCTAATTATTACAGCTGCCGCCACGCCTGTTCATAGATCAAAACGCAAAAAAAAAAGAAGGTACGAAAAATCGCAAAAAAACGACCATTCACACAACTGTCTCGATTGCTGGTTGACACGAGCGCAACATGCCCACTTCTGCGATACTACCTGCCCAGCAGCAGAAGAAGAAGAAGAAGAGACTGAGCTCATTGTTGACAGAAGCATCTGTAGCTATTACATTTTTTGTTTCTGCATGTACCAAGTAATCGCTTAATGTAGTGGTCAAAAATCTAAGAGATTGCAACTTGGCTTGTGGGGGGAAGATTTCATCGTACTCTATTCTAATGTGAAAGGCAGGCGTAGGAATTGCGTCTGATTTCCTCGGCTGGTCTTTTTCAGTAAGGCTTCCAGATTTCACTCCTATATTTGAAGCCGAGCTAGTAGCTATCATTTTAGCTCTTCGTAAAATTCCTACGACCGAGACCAGTGCAATCATCCTAACAGACTCACTTTCGGTGTGTGCAGCTCTGACAACCTCTGAACAATCTCGTGCCCTAGCAGCGTTCCACACATTAGCACCGCCGCATTTAAAACTCTTCAAATTAGTGTGGGTCCCAGGTCACTGCTGATTACAATTAAATGAATTGGCAGATGCTTTGGCACGAGCATCACTCGATGGACCAGTAATTTCAGTACTTCCAGAGTTAGAATACTTATCAGGGGTTAGATAGAGGAAATTCGCTATTTTTACAGATAATTTAGAAAATATCACACAATGGACAGATTATCAGCACCTCAAATTTCCATGAAAAGCCCAGTGGAGTCCGTCAAAAAAACTTGAAATTATAATCTCCAGATTCCGGTGCCGTGTCCCTCCCATTAAATTTTTGTTTACACAGAGCTGGTCTGACACTTTCCCCTCTTTGTCCGTTCTGCGAAGAACCAGAAACTATTGAACATTATTTTGGCTCATGTCGTAACTATGCATTAATTAGGAAACGACTTTTAGATATTCCATTTGCGAAGCTAGGTTTAAATTTAACCACAGAAAATGTTCTAAGTTTTGGTGCCTCTGTTTTGCGAAATTGCCACAGAGATGCATCCGAAGCGGTGTGTAATTTTATTCAAGACTAAGCGTTTTTCAACATAAAGCCCAGGTTAACAGATACTAAAAAAAAAAACGGGTCGAAAAGTAATTTTCAACTCTGGATAAATCCGTGACATACCAAATTAATCGTGTTTGGCAAAACCAGCTGTCTGGTCGGCTCCAAAAATCAAGTTGTAGCTATTAGTGTCTACTTTGTTGTTGATTCTTTTTTCTCACTATCTAAATCTTTGGTTTCTTTCTTTTTTTAACATACTGTCTTCACTATACAACTCTTCCGCTTTTTTTTTTGTTGTTGTTGTAAGCAATAATGCAGTTATCGTACATGTGAGACTATATGTTCTCTTGGCCAATCCCCCAGAGTGGGTATGAGCCATGGATTAGAGGATACAAACAAACAAACAGACTGGGCTCTGTGGCACACACCCACGCTGGGGGATTGGCCAAGAGCCGGGTTGTTCTACCGAAATACAGCAGGCTAGTCAAAACCAGGCGACATAATGAAAACAACGGTCATTTATTGGTCAATTATTATAATTTGCAGCATCGTACAGCTAGCACAAAATTAAGAAGCAGAAAAGTATGCAACGTGTACAGCAATGACGCTAGAAATTGCCGCGCTGAAAGTGCAAACCTACAGCTGCGGCGATCACAGGTGCAAGAGGTTCGACATAGCCTCCTCTATGGGTTCGATTACAAAACTGCGGCCCTCGAGAGAAAGCCACGCATAAACAGCCGCGACCTCTTGGCAGAAAACGTAAAAAGAGAGAAACAAATAGCCTAGTGAAACGGAAACGCACCTTCTGCTCACTTTTAGCATTTCTAGCGAGAACGCGCCCTTCTGCTTACTTTGTATTCATATTTTTCTTCTGGGCTATAAAACCAGCGACAGCTGCACGTTCGGTGCGCATCGGCACGCCGCCGACCACGCACACGCTGAACGGCCTTCGGAAATCAAAGCGCGACGATAAAAGGAAGAATCGTTGCACCTTGGCGAGACACTAACCAGCGGAACGATTTTCTGTTTTTTCACTTACTGGCCGAAAGTAGCAGCAGACAGCGAAAGTAAGAGGAGAGCTACACATTCGACGTCACTCGGCAAGCCGGTCTGCGGGGCACGTTTTATCGTTCAAACCTTCACAAAAAAGCGTGGTGCTGCTTTTCAGAAGGGGAAACACAAAAACCAAAACCCACTACGCCAGCAAGAAAGGTGCGCGTATCTTAGCAACGTGGTGGGTAACAGCGGCGGCGTGACGAACGAGACGCCGGTTAGAACGGCTCATCGTTTGGCACGAAGTTGAAATAAAGGCTGTAGAGGCTGTAGCTATGGGATGAATTGTTTCGGCTACCGAAAGCTTATTTCAAAAAAACCACGGAGGAAGTTCGGGGAACAAAAACACAGTGGGTGTGACTTACTATAATTGTAGTCCTCTTGAGAAAGCATGTTGTCCGCGAGGAAACCTCGGTCTAGCTCCTGTTTCAGTTCCCCCAAATTGCCCGTTAAGGCTACCAGTTCAGAGTCCATCATTAATCTTCAGTCAGATCGATCATTCATAGATTATGCTAACGACGTATGAACACCGGTAGGCATAAACAGCAAAACGTTCGTAACAAGGACGACGCCACAGAACACGACGCTGTTCTGAAGTTCTGCTACAATGTTTTTCGCATGAGAGCACCGCGCCCAATGACGCTAAAATCGCAAGTCGCTAAAATTATGATCAATAAACTTCAAATGTTTCAAAAAATAAAACGTACCTTTTAGGATACTTTATTATTAATATAATTATTATTATCAGCAACTTGAAATTGTAATTGAAAGCATTAATATAAACACTTTACTTCTAACACGTATCATCATCATCACAACGTTTAGAGCGAATTTGATTTTATCACTCAAAGTATGCTTAAAAACGAGCTTTCGGTGCTAATCAACAGTGAGTACAGACGACGTTGTGCGACTCAAAGAGGATGTGTTAGCTAGCAGCACTAGCAACCCTCTAGCGCAACGGTAGGCCATTTCTAGCCACCCTGGCAACGGCGAGAAACGCTCGCAGTGCTGAGAATGATGGCCATCGCAGCAGACGACAAGGCGTGGGTAGGGTGGGCCACTTACGTTGTGCTCACCTGCAACGCCATTTGGTGGTATTTTATATTTGACACGGCGTGACGCCACAGAACACCTACCAGCTTCGCAGTTGCTGTCAACGTTACTAGATTATTTTCAGTTGTAAAACTGGCCGGCGCTGCCCGGAACCGCCACCGATCTTTCTCTCTGTGGCGCTGCAGTCGCAACCGGCTCGGTTGCTGGGGCGCTCGCAGGCGGTTTCACTTATGCGCCGCAGTAGCCGGCGCATTCGGTGCCCCTGTCTCCGGCGTTTCTTGTTCGCGCGGTCGTTTTCAGAAGTGCTGAATGAGCAATGCCGTTCGAGTGGCACATTTAGTGATTTTCCAGCGACTGTATTTCATTGCTGTGGGCCTCTGCATGTGAGGCTGAGGCCGACAATGCCGACCTGCTTTGTTCCCGGGTGTACTAGTGGCTACAGCAGCAACAAGAACAACACGGACAGGCACTTCTTCTCGGCTCCCAAAGATGCGACGCTTCGCTCGCTTTGGAATAAGGCCATCCCGCGTGCGGATAAGGAGCTTTCACCGGATAATGTGCTTTTTTTTTTTTTGGTGACGCGCATGCATTTCTATTCCAGATTCCTTCAGCGAGAGCGTGCCTTGAATGTGCAGGTCAAGTCGGCGCGCAAACGCGCTAAGCTGCTGTAAGCACGCTGGCAAAGTTGTAGAGTTTGTTGTAAATGAAAAAAAAAACCTTGCATACATGTATCTATTCATTACTTTTTTTCTGTCAACATGATTTCGTATTTTGTAGCCATATTCACCGTAAGCAAAAAAGATGTGGAGTTGATTTGTAAATAAAAATGCTTGCATTCTATCTAGTAACGTTGGTTGCTATCTAGTAACGTTGGTTGCTGTAACATGCCCATGCGATGGTGTTGTGTAGGCTTAGTTAGACCGTTGACTTCAAGCGAAAATTGATAAGTGGTCACAAGTGTTTTACCATAAACGCCCGTGAGCTGCTACGCTAACCACCACCCATTCATTATTCGTATTCAAACAAATCTGAAGATCTGCATTTGTGAATAATAATGAAATTCGCTTCAGCTGCAGGTGTTATATCTGTGTTGCAATATTCTTCAAATTATTTTTCGTTTTTGTCTGACATCGTATAGGCTGAATCGTATACACCAAGGAGCTGTTCTTCAAATATATAAGCTGATGGTCTCCGCTCCACCTTTCAATCATGCGGAGCGCTAATTGTGAGGGGTCTCTGATACCTATAAGTCAAAGCAGCAGCTTCGCGCGCGTGTGTGTGATGTGTGTGTGGGTTGGGGGGGGGGGGGGGGGTCTTTTGTACAACTTTGTTTTATATAGATATACGAATATATACTATGCGTTAAAAACGCAAGTTTGTTGCGGCTTGTATTGCGCGTGGGCAACAATCAGTTTATGCAACTGAGACGTACCGGGCTTGAACATATGATGCACATGTGGCGAGGAACGTTAGAGACGGAAAGGTGGCCGACGTGCCCGTGTCGATTTGGCTGCCGGCGTTCAGTTCGCCAGGAGCGTGGGCTCGTTCTTTTTCTGCTCGCGCCTCGAGCTCCAGCATGAAGTGCGCGAGACGTGCGGCGCGTGCAAAATCATCCAGCGTTTTTCCAGCCATCACGAATATATGGCTGAAAAATTTTCCACATGTTTCTCGATGTGTGCAACTTGCTTGCTGGTCTATTTTCATTGCAGAAAATCTTCCATCCTATTTGTGAGAATATATGTAGTTTTGCACCGACTAAGCCAAAGGGCATCAAGCATTTTTTTTTTTTCGAGAGACGTTTTTGGAATGCACTCAATAAAATGGTATTTGCGGCAAGGTAACAAAGCGATCAAATAGTAAAAATAATGACTTATGTAAATCGATCCCTCTAGGGCTTTTCCCACGAGCAATATTGAATAAAGTTTACGATTTTGGCATTTTTTTCCGGGTACATGGCAAGCTCAAAAGACACACATAAAATATGTGCTGGTGACCTGTTTGACACGCTAAAATTAAAAGTAATTTAGACGCTGAAAATTTAGTAGATTTACTGAAAAAAAAAAAAACTGCGAACTTCACTTTATGTGGAAAGCTCTTTATTCTGCGTCAAAAAACTCGCCTTGGTGGTCGGACTGAAAATATGCACAATATCTCCTTTGAAAGCGCCGTGTATCAGCTAAATATACGTGAAGTTACTCGAAAATATTTTTTTTTAATTTGAGAAATATTTTAATTATGCATTTGCACCAGCTTTTCGTTTACGTAACTCGAGCGGCATGACGTACTCACAAGAACAATATTCAGCCCAAGGCTACTGACCTGGGATACAGAAACATGGTGCCCTCTACTGACCAATAGAAATGGGAATTGGGTTATCATCTGCATTCTATTGCCAACAGAGGTGCACTACAATGAATGTGGCCAGAGTTTGGAGTCCAGTAGCATAGCAAACAAATATTTTTCGGTTGGGGGTAATGTATGAGGTGGGGAGGTGATTTCGATCATACTTTTATGTGCGTTCATACGTCTGTTTGTATGCGTTAGCGTATGTATGCTCATGCACACCTGAAAAATATCTGGACTGTGTTCAGGAGGGGGGGAGGCAGATCGTCTTCCCTTCTTGAATACGCCGCTATAGCTAGTGATGACTCCCAGATGAGTTATCAAGCCGTTAAAAATTACAGCGCTAACAATAATGTATTACGCGCACAACATAAATGAGACTGTCGGCTCGGCTACCAGCTTTTTGTTGTTATTCACTTGTGTAGTCATATGACAGGCTTTGGGTCTCGGCGACGAGAGTGATCTCCCGAAAGCCGAAAAAAAAAAATAAACTATTCGAATTGCGATAGCGTTTATCAGTGTACGTACTGCGTCAGTGCTACTAGCATGCTATAAGATTTTTGTTCTGAATAATATTAAATATTTTATAAAGCGTATAAACACAGCTTCGGCATTTGCAGAACTCCCCAGGGAAGTTTAATTTCTGACTTTAAATCTCTTAGGCTGTCTGACCCATTTGGACGTCACCACAATGACCCTATTCCTTGTTTATAGTGCACTTTTGTGGACAACGGAACGTGGGTGATAACCTCATTCCCATCTCGATTGCTCTGTAAAGAGCACCAAGTTTGCTGTCTGCATCCCAGGTCAGTAAACTTCTGCTGAAGATTACCGTGCGAGTGCATCATGCCGCTTGAGTTACGTAGGCGAAAACTTGGTGGAAACGCATAAGTTCAGAAAAACATTTCTCAAATTTAAAGCATAATAGCGTCCAGTAACTTCACGTATCTTTAGATGATACTTGGGGCTATCAAATGATATATTGTGCATATTTTCAGTCCAACCACCAAGGCGATTTTTTTAACGCTGAATACAAAACTTTTCCTCAAAAAAGTGAAATTCGCGTTTTTTTAGTCTATCTTCTATATATCTTCAGTACCCAGATTATATTCAATTTGTAGCCTGTCAAACCGGCCACCAGCATATATTTGTGTCTTTGAGCTTGCCATGTACCCGGAAAAAAATGCCAAATTTGGCTACTTTATTCAATATTGCTCGTGGGAAAAGCCCCGAGAGAGTTTATATACATAGGTCATTATATTTTTACAGTTAGATCACTTCGTTACCTTGCCACAATTATCGTTTTATTTAGTGCATTCCAAAAACGTCTTTTGAAAAAAAAATTGTTTGACGCACTCTAGCTCAGTTGGCGCAAAACTAAAGACTCTCGTCAACAGGGTGGAAAATGTTTAGCAACGAAAATAAACGAGCAGGACGAGTACCGCATATCGAGAAACATGCAAATCTTTTTGCATGTTTCTGGATGATTTCACATGGAAGAACGCTGGATGATTTCTGATGGAATGTAATAGTGAAATTGCGATTATATATGGCGATGATGACAACGCTACAGACTACTCCCTCCACAAAAGTCCCCCCCCCCCCACCCTCCATTCCACGCTACACATGTATATTGTTTTTATGTTCATGTAAGCATGATCAGAGGCCAAAATGGCGAGGCTGGTCGGAATTAATGCCAAAAATGCCAGTGTATCCAAGGTGTTCAAAATTATTTCACAGTCCCTAATTACGACAAGCCTCATAATCATATAACATATTTAGAGGATCTTCTTATTGCTTGCATAATACCGCTTGTGTGGCTTCTATCGACATATATTTACTACCGATATCAGCAGATATCTGTGGCGTTTGGCGGGCCACCCTTTTGCCGCGGCTAGAGTGTACTAGAAGCGTTGAGTGGCATGGCTGCACCTTACCGCCTGACAGTGATGCCAATCTATGGAGACATTTTATCCCTAGATTGACCCTCGAAAATTCACTAGATTGAAAGAAAAATCTCTAGATTATAATTTAAATGTCATTATTAAGGCTAATTGACTATTAAAAAAGTAATAAGATAGTGTGCTCTGTGGCCAAGTTCTTCTGAACCTGTTAAAGGGCCAGTAAACAGCCCTAAGGTCCAAAAATTTTTTAAGAAGATATATGTGCAGTTTTTTTTTTTTGCGAACATGCTGCCGCAAAAACTTTGCGAATACGTTCAATAATAAGGAAGTTACAGGGGTTGGAACGTCAGTGAAAGCTGGTTTCAAATTTTCGCGCGGCCTGACCCCCTTTTTGCCTTCCATAAAGGGAAAGCGTAGCCCATCGTCGTGACTCCGCCCACTTCGGCAGCGTTGTAATATTCAGAAAACGTGATCGCTGTGGTCTACTCTACAAATTGCCAAGCTTGTATGAGGGGTGTAAAAAAAAAGTCGGAGCCTGTTTACTGGCTCTTTAAAAGTAAAACTACTTTCTGGCTGAGAGCCGCAAAGTTGTCATATATTCTATTTACGTTATTCGCAAGTATGTAACAAAAAAAAAACAACCCCAAAAATTAAAAGAAATTGGATTTACAGGCTTCTATTGCTGACATGAATGAGTTATATTGCTAAAAGTAATTGATAAACTTTTGTGTATTGAAAGTTGGAGCCACATGTTAGTCGTTTTCGCATCCAATTCAAGTCACGTAATGGCCGTTGTGTGTAAAAAAGCAGCTGAATATCTCTACGAGCCGTATTTTGCGTTCTGTGGCATAGAAGTCTGCGAGAACAATGTAATTGCGACTACTGGGTAGTATTTTTGTTTCTGAAGGATATGGCAAGCTGCGAAGAACAAGGATAGATTGTGAAATTCTTGTCGTAAGGTGAGTAAACGAAGCTAAACATGCTGCGATCGCGATATATTCACTTCGCTTTTGCTCTTACAGGCAACAAACAACAAAGTATAAAAAGGAGAAGCCTTCACTTTTGTTTTCTATTAGCAGGTAAGCAACACTTTTTTCATTTAAGGAACGATCGTGCGAGGGCGAGCGTCGTTACGGCGCATGACACGGAAGTGCGCATTTATGTATTTACCCCCTGCATCTTGCGTAATAGGGAGTTTTAGTGCTGGGTACGCAGGCGGCTTGCGTACGCAGGACGATGGGGCGGCGGTATTGCGCATGCGCGAAGCCCCAAACAGATGCGTCGCAAGATCGCTGGGGCGATGCGTCTGTGCGCCCATAAACAACGCTGCCACCACTGGCCTCCTAGCGGAGATAAGCTGCCCCGGCGCACATGCTGGCGCATCATGTTACCTTCACGGCGAGCAAAGCCGAGGCTGGCCGGAGCCACCACTTTGACATTTAAGTTTTAAGCGCAAATATTATAATGGCTAGCCGCTATACAAATAGCATGACACAGAGGCGCGAAATCTCGGACAGCATGGATCGGCCGCCTTGTAAGGTCCACCTTCGCAAGAACTCACAGTATCCGCACTGCGGATACTCTAGCCGTCAAGTTAAAATAAGCCAAAGTGGGAGCACTTATAGCGATTACACGGTTTCAGCCATATTACCAAAGATAAAATGGCCTGGAACATAGAAATTGAATATATGCCAGCCCCGACCAGCTGAATAGGTGGCGCCATCTAGCGCGGCTATATTGAAACAGACAACCACAAAATTGTTATTGCAGAAACATTGTGCATTGTACATCTGATGCAAAAACTGCGCAGCGACAATATTACAAATGAGTAACGTTTTTATTTGTTTTCATCTCAAAAACGTTACGCGTAAGCTACCAAGTTCATGACTGTGGTTGCACGAAGTGTCACAAGATGTCGACACTGTCGTTATAGTAACCTTGTATTTTTCACTTTCTTGTGTATACTAGGATACGGTACACGATAAAAAAGTGTCCTGATCAATATGTATGTTTAATTTTACATTTTCAATCATGAAAATAATTGAATAATACTTACGCGACAAGACGCTATGGCGCTGCGAGCACGTGTGACCTTCGTGCGGCTTGCGTTTGCATGCGTGCCACCGTGGCGCCAACTAAAAGGCATTCCGGTTGGGTATGGGTTGGGCACGCAATGCCGCGCGCTCCCAAGCTCGCAAGGCCCCAAGAGAATGCGTACCCAGCACTAAAACTCCCTACTATCGTGAGCAGTGTGAGCTCGAACACGCGAACGCGTATCGAATAGCCTCGAACCCTACATCGACTGATTTGCAGCGGCCGCTGTGGGAAACAAAGTGGAAAGGGCAGCGCGCTTATGCCAGCTGTTGACACCCCCTCCTCGATATTGTTGCTGTAAAACTCGGCTTGTAGCGTGTGAGCTGCTAGTGGCTGCTGTTGGTCATATGAATTCACATGAACGTGCACAGCCACAACCAGTTGACCTAGCAGGCTATCAAGCTACTAAAACGTCGCCTGTGACGTAGCCGGCAGCGATGCACAGGCCGTGCTTTCATTACATCTAGACGATGTTCGCTCAGTATTTTGATACGTATCCTTGTTTTCGGTGATTTTTTTATTTTCATGTTATCATTGCTAGCGGCTGAAGGCACGTGATAAACTGCAGTTTCACAGCAACGATCAGGCGGGTATGGTTATGCGAGTGCAAACAGTCAGCAGAAGAGCACCCTCTTTTCCTCTCCAGTTTCGGCAGCGCCATCCTCGTATCACGTTATCTGTATTTTGAGGCTTTTGGCCACGCACTCGCGCGTTCGAACTCAGATTGCTCACGATAGTACATATTTGCTTAATAGAACTCTCACAGAAGAAAGTTGTTGCATAAAACATTTATGTTTATCTGCAGACCATGGTGTGTCATTTGCGATTACTTAATCATTAGATTTGATGAGCATAATTGTTTTAGCCGGCTAATGATTTGTATGATATATGCTTCCCATGGTTCTTTTTTTACCGCGTTGCGGAAAGAACTGGGAAGAAATAAGGGGAAACATTTACGAAGCCACTTGGTAGGGTCTCCCAGCAGCGGCGGGCCTGTTTTTTTGTGCTTATCGAGCAGAAGGGCTATGACTTCGTTGGCAAGATACGAGTGCTGTTGACAAAGCAGCACTACGTACAGTTGTCATCATGTTCGATGCACCGTGTTTTTGAAGTGGACATTACTTAGCTAGTTGGTCTATTCTTGGTACACTTTGGTTATCCAGGAGGTCGATCGAAGAGACAAGTATACGATGTGCCTACTTAGCATACCTCAGAAATCACTTAATTATCTATTTGGCTTGCATTATTGGCATGAAAAGATGATTTTCAGGCAGACTGCAAACTAACGCACAGTAAAAACAGATATCAAAAAATGACCACTGTTACTATACTGAGTAGAACATTGTCAAAGCCCCAGCTTCTTACATATTATCGTGCACCATGAGCTGTAAAGACAAGACAGGAACAGCGGGGCAGAAAGACACGAGCATGTATTTTCAAATGAGGCGCTAACACACACTTCTTCGTTCTCTTTGCCCTTTTTGGCTCGCTAGGGCTTGCCGGCTCACAACTCTAGGTGGCATTATTCCCCCTCCCATTAGAGCATCGACACGATGCTCATACACAAGAGGACAGCAGGGCCCATAAGGAAAAAAAAGGAGAAACAATACTTATAGTGCACAGGGCGTATGCATGTGCAAAACAAAAAAAAAATGTTTGTGATTGGTCATAAGAAAAAAAACACTAACACAGTTCCAACTTCATTAGAGACCCAACGGACAACATAAAAAAAGGAAATGTTTGCTGCCCGAGCAAAATAAGGCGAGTATCACCGCGTAAAACAAGGTTTTAGGCGGACGACATGCACAATCTCTGTTCGTAATGAGTGGTGCCGGATCGTTACCGAGCCACCGTCTGGAATAACTTCATAGATGACCTCGTTCAACCACCGTAATACTTTGTAGGGTCCGAGGTACTTGCTCAGGAGTTTCTCACCGAGACCTCGCCGTCTAACAAGAGTACGAACCCACACTTGGTTGCCAGGTTGATAGGTGACTTGTCGATGGTGGATATTGTACCTTCGGGTGTCTTCACATTGCTGCGATCTTACGTGCACACGAGCTAGTTGACGTGCTTCCTCTGCACGCTGAATGTAATCCTCGACATCAGGAGTTAGCAGCTCGTGCTGGTCGATGTCACAAGGAATCAGGGCATCTAGCATGGTTTGCACGTCTCGACCGTAATTGAGGCAGAAGGGTGCGAACCTTGTCGTTTCCTGGGTTGCGGTGTTGTGCGCAAATGTTAGGTACGGCAGGATCTCGTCTCATGTTCTATGCCGCACATCCACGTACATAGAAATCATGTCCGCCGGCGTTTTGTTTAGCCTTTCTGTCAAGCCGTTACTCTGGGGGTGGTATGTGGTTGTCTTACGGTGGTTCGTGTAACTGAGCTTGAAGATGTCATCCAACGGTTTTGTCGTAAACGCTGTCCTTCGGTCAGTGATGATGAATGATGGGGCGCCGTGACAAAGCACAATGTGGTGCATGAAAAACTGGGCTACTTCAAATGCTGTACCGCGTGGCAATGGCTTCGTCTCAGCGTAACACGTCAAGTAATCAGTTGCGACGATGATCCACTTGTTTCCAGAGCGAGACATAGGAAACGGTCCAAGGAGGTCTATCCCAACTTGGTCAAACGGCGTACGCGGTGAGTTGATGGGTTGTAGGAGGCCTGTAGGTTTTACAGGTGGTGACTTGCGACACTGATACTCGCGCCATCCTTTCACGTAGCGTTTGACACAAGTTGCGAGTTTCGGCCAGAAATATAGCTGTGGTACCCGGTTGAGCGTTCGTGAGTATCCCAAATGGCCGGATGTCGGCTCATCGTGGCAGGATAATAGGATGTCATCACGAAGGTCTTGAGGAACAACTAGAAGATAAGACCTGCTATTGACGCCGGTGTTTTTCTTGTATAATATGCCGTGTTGTAAGCAAAATGACGGCAACGCACGGGAAAGTGGATGAGGAACAGATACGGTGCTGCCTTCTAAGTGATCGATGATGGGCCTTAACTCGGGGTCCGCTCGTTGCTTACTGAGGAGGTCCGCCCCACTGAGAGTCCCCAGGAAGGCACTGTCGTCTTCTACAGCTGTATGGTCGGATTCCAGAGATGCTCGTGATAGAGTGTCGGCGTCTTCATGCTTTCTACCCGACTTGTATACGATGGTGACATCGAACTCCTGAAGCCGCAGACTCCATCGTGCTAAACGCCCAGAGGGGTCTCGAAGGCTAGCCAACCAACATAAAGCGTGGTGATCAGTCACAACTTTAATTGGGCGTCCATAGAGATAAGGCCTGAAGTTTGTAATCACCCTTATTGCCGCGAGAGATTCTTTCTCGGGCGTTGAATAGTTGGTTTCGACACATGATAAAGTGCGGCTCGCGTAAGATCACACGTTCGGTCCCATCTTGTGTTTGCACCAAGATAGCTCCAAGACCAATGTTGCTTGCGTCAGTGTGCACCTCTGTGTCAGCGTCCTCATCGAAATGACCAAGTACACGAGGGGAAGACAATCGATGTTGCAGTTCTGCAAAAGCAGTCGCTTGTTCGTCAGTCCACAGAAATGGGGTGTCGTCACGTGTAAGTCTGATGAGCAGCTCTGCAATCTTAGAGACGTTTTCAATAAAGTGGTGATCGTATGTGCAGAACCCCAGAAATTGTCGAAGACTGTTCTTGTCTGTCAGAGCTGGAAAAGCGGCCACAGCGGCAGTCTTCTCGGGATCGGGCCGAACGCCTGCAGCGCTCACAACGTGACCCAGGAACTTCAGTTCTTTGTAGCCGAAATAGCACTTCTCAGGCTTGAGGGTAAGGTCAGTGGACCGTATAGCTTCAAGAACACTCCGAAGGTAAAGAACGTTTTCGTCAAACGTTCTTGATAAAAACATCATCTAGATAGACGAACCAACTTTTCCACTTGAGGTCAGCGAGAACGGTATCCATCATTCGTTGGAATGTGGCTGGAGCGGAACAGAGGCCGAATGGGAGCACTCAGAATTCATACAGACCGTCAGGAGTTACAAAAGCCGTTTTTTCGTGGTCACATTCATCGACTTCAATATGCCAATAACCACTTTTGAGGTAATTCTATCAACAGGTCGTTGAGGTGGAATTCTATCAACAGGTCGTTAAGCCTTCGTTTGTTTTCGTCAGAAAGCGTTGGATTTATGTCGACACTCTGGAGAGGTGCTTTGGTATTATCGGTTGGCTCGGAAGCAGAACACTCAGTCACATTGGTTACTGGGTAGGCACAGGTGATGACAGTACCAGGGTAAAGGTGTCGGGGCTCGTAGCCGAAGTTTGTAACAAGAACCTCGCAGTGGTTAGCCTGGAGGCCTACAAGGCTTCGTGCTATGCAGACACCTTGGGAAAAGAGAAGGAATCGATTGCTCTCCGCCATCATTTCACCGTGTGTTGATTTGTTACACGCCACTTGAACCACAACAATTGAGCACGGTGGTATTGTCACAGCATCGTTAATTATGCACAGGTATACTCGATCGTGACTGGGATTATGCTCTGGTGTGGCGTTTTTTGTTGGGAACGTAACAAGGCGTTGTCTAATGCCGATGATAGCAGCGTGCTCCCTTAGGAAGTGCATACCAATGATCAGGTCTCGAGAACACTGACGGAGAACGCTCAAGCTTATAACGAAGGTAGGACCACGAATTTGTATTCGTGCTGTGTGAACACCGAGTGGCGTGACGATATGCCCACCAGCAGTACGAATTGGCCTGAGGTTCCAAGGCATCGTCACTTTCTTCAGGAGAGCAGCCTGTTTTTCACTTATTATAGAAAAATCCGCACCCGTGTCAACTAAAGCACTGACTTTGCGACCGTCGAGCAGCACTGGAATGTCTAATGAAGTCTTTGCGGAACCAGCTGGTGTCGTCGTCGTTGAGGAATCGTCAGTTTGCGGAAGTGTCGGTAGGTGGCGTTGAGCTTGTCCAGTATGGATCTATGATCTATGATAGGATCTATGAAGGGATCTATGATAATACTCGGGGTAGTTCTTTACTGTTTGAGGCCAGGATGGTAGTACTGCGAATCAAGACATATCGGGCCAAATACGAAGGGGTAGACACAGTATGCAGTGCGTGTGGAGAGGAAGAAGAAACTGCCGAACACTTGATAATGTTCTGTAAAGGGCTTCACCCTATAGTTCATGATGATGGCGCAGAGTTTTTCAAAGCACTGGGGTTTAAGGACCGGGAGGGCAAAATAAACTTTAAGTGGGTAGACTTAACTAGAAGGAGGTTATCTGATTGGTGGCTAAAGTCAAGGCACGAGTGAAAATTAAACTCTTCACTGCAAAGTACGAATCCTCAAACTCACTTTTTAAGAAAAAAAATAAATATAGTTTTTGGTCCATTAGGTATTACGGCTTGGTGGCGCTAGCCACCGCCCGATCTAAAGGGTACAGCCATATCCATCCATCCGTCCATCCATCCATGAACGGCCTCGCCCCGAAGGTCGCTGTGGTTAGTTTTCTCGGCGTGGACTGGGTGACTGACCCTGCGCCACACTCGTATAGGTACGGCGATTACGAGAAAATTGCCACGGTGACGGGGAGCGTGACTGGTGCAAGGATGACAAAGTTCCGCACTGCTGAGCCACATACACTTCAATTTCAGGGGGCCGCTGACCGAACCTGGGTGGCGATGAGTTCGTCAAAAATCCGCGTAGTCCTAGTTGTCCGTAAGAACACTGTCGGTACAGATGCCCAGCCTCGCCACAGAAGAAGCAGAGAGGACGTCAATCTGGCGCACGCCATACGTCTCATTTCCGTGAGATCAGGCGAGGTTCGCTGTAATATGGTGCCGCTTAGACTATTTGCAGCATGGCTGGGGCCCCGGTGGGATGCGGAATTGCAAGTGTAACAGGTTTCTGCAAAGCTTGAGGATACGACATGTGGGGGAAGTCACTGGGTGGTTGATAATTCTGCATAAAAGACGGTTCTCTTAAGGCATGCTGGACTTCATGTCGGACCACACTGGACAGCAAGTAGATAGTGGGCTGCGAGGGCACTGACAGCTTCTGGAGTTCTTTGCGGAAAACTGAACGTATGAGGTCTCGGAAAAATTCATTTGGCCACCGAAAGCTCCCGAGTAGTCCGTAGTTGAAGCTGTATGTACCATTCGTAGGACGAGGTCCGGTGCCTAAAAGTGCTTTCGATGGTGACGGTTTTTGTGAGAAATTCTTGCACAGTCTTGGGCGGACTGCTCTCGAGGCCACTGAAAAGCTGCTCTTTCACCCCGCGCATGAGGTTCCGCACCTTCTTTTCTTCTGGCATGCCGGGCTCAGCTCGGTGGAAAAGACACGTCATGTCGTCGACATACATCGCGACCCCTTAGTTCGGCAGTTCTATGCGGGACTGCAGATTGCGCTCAGCTCTCTCCCGACGGTAAGGGCTGGCATATGTCCCAGAAAGTCGGCGTTTGAAGTCTTCCCATGATGTAAGAATACCTCCCCAATTCTCATACCATACAAGTGCACCGTCCAAAAGACTGAAATAGACGTGCCGCAGTTTGTCTGCGTCGTCCCACTGGTTGTGCATGGCAACAAACTCTTAACGAACAAGCCAATCTTCGACATGCTCAAGTGCAGTTTCATGAAACGGATTTCGCGTTCGCGGTGTGATTAAGGTGTAGTGAAGCGGCGTTGTGCCGTTCGTACCGATTGGGTTGGTGTCGGTAAGGCTGGTTGGAGCTGCCATGTTGTTTGCGAGCACTTTCTTACAGCGCAACACCAGAAAAAATACAGGACAGGAAAGGAGTAGAACAGAAAGAAAAGACGGTGCCGTCTTTTCTTTCTGTTCTACTCCTTCCCTGTCCTGTATTTTTTCTGGTGTTGCGCTGTAAGAAAGTTCACGATGGATCCTAACCAACTGGCCCGATTTACCGTCTTACTTGTTTGCGAGCAGTCCAAACTCAGGGAATTGCCCTCGGATTCTTCTGCTTGCACGGTGCTCAGGAGTGACCACCAGTACGGCGCTTCAGTTCTTGCTATGTGGAGGGGTACGGTGCATAGATTACTCAACACGTCCACCAGTTTCTCACACACCGAGGGCCGTAAAGACAAGACAGGAACAATGGGGCAGAAAGACACGAGCGTGTATCTTCAAACAAAGCACTGACACACACTTCTTCGTTCTCTTTGCCCTTTTTGGCTCGCTAGGGCTGGCCGGCTCACAACTCTAGGTGGCAATATATATTAAAAGTGTAAGCAAAGGGGCAATATTTTTGGCATAAAAATGATGGTGATCCCTGAATTAAAAAATCAGATTTGCAGTGGTCATTGCAAAGCATGTCGCACATTGCAGCCTGCATTTCAGACACTTACTATTGCGTGGTGTCTCTAAATTAGCTAGGCACAAAACTTTTGCATAGTTACCCGACAACCATTAGAAATTTATGGCTGCTCTTGATGACTGCTGAGTGAAATAATGCCCGCCATTGACAGGTGGAGCGTACTTTCTAATGGACAAACAAAAAAACCTCGTTGTTGTGCTGAAATTGGTGCTACATCCGAACGACACAGGTTATGTACTCCCCACAGCATTGCTGTGTTTACTGCTGCTATTGATAAATTGATTCACAACATGCTTATGGATTCATGATGTACACCTAAAAAGTTCTGCAATCCTTCTACTTTGTAGATGAGGCTGAATTGCAAGGTCACACTTAACAATGCTACATTCAGGTGCTTGTGCAAAGGTTTGGAAGAAGCCAAGGGAAGCCACTCTGTTTGACTTCTTGTAATTGGGCTGTGTTATAAATAGGCAAAAAAGGTTGGCTTTTTCTATCTTGATAATTAACTTTCTTTTCCAATTCAATCGATGAATGCCACGTTTTGCTGCCCATCTAACTGAACAGGTGGAGCATGACTTGTGTTTCCTGTGTCTTTTTGCCTTACAGGGTCTACAATACATTACGAGATTCGTCTACATGATCTGAAGCTTGTCGATGAAGTGAGGGGCTCACGTTCGGCTACCCTGGCTGTCATTGTGCCTGGAACTCCTCAGCCTTTGCTGTTACTACCACAGTTATGACCATGGGCATCATTGTTTTTCAACTTTAACTTTTCTTTCTTTAGTGTTGTTTTACGTGCAAGTAAGCTTCTCAATACAAGTGTGGTGCATAACAGTGTTCAATTATTCACCTTCTCACAGTCATGGGAAGGTATCTCCACACATTACTTTTAGGTGTGCTCATTAGCCTTTTGAAATCATGCAAACAACAGACATCACGTGGCTTCATTTCATCAGACAAGCCTGGCGTTATGTTATATATATAGTGTTCCAGTAATAATTACCCCATTTGATGCAGTGTTTCATTCAGCATGATGTTTCTTGTATTGTGTGCAACGTTATAAATCTTTGCTTTGAAAACATGACAACGTGGTTTCGCAACGTGCATTTATTTACAAAACGTGTATGTCATCTTAGCATTGGCATGAGCATGAATAAAATATTTTTTTACAAAGTTCCAAATTAAAAAAAACAGATTGTGTACTTAATATTTCACACTATTTCAGCATTTACAAACGAGAAAAATGTACTTGAATAGCTAGACTATCTGTTTCAGTATGGGTTGTCCCAACCCAAAGGAACCGTGTTGTGGATGTGCCACAGTGTCACAAACCGAGCGCTCAAAAAAGGGCGCGCCGCCAAATTCTCGCGACGAAGCACCGGAAGGTCAACGATAAATAAAAAAGAAAACAAGCATCCAAAGACTCCCCGGGCGCGCGACCCTCTCCCCTCGGAAGCGTAGGTTCCCCGACGAACCTCCTCTCATCGGCGCCCGAGCAAGCCCTCGAATGTTCTAGATGGAAAGGGGCGTGGTGATGCCGGGTTGCGTCATCCGTCGCGGACGGCCTTCGAACCGTCTCGCCCTCTCCCCAGCCTTCGCTGCGTATTGCGCCGACGAAATGATGAGAACTTTCTGGAATCTCGCGTGGAAGGTATTTAATCGAGCAGCCGAGATGGCAGATCAGGAAAAGAAGGAAGTTAACGCCGGTGTGCGTAGGGTATCCCGCCGCGTCTCTCGGTGAAGGTTTTGTCCATAGTGACAAAGCAGGAGAAGAAGAGGATTTCCACCTGAGGGGTGAAGGCTCGAGCTACAGGCAAGAGCGTGTGTCTACCGCTATCGAGCGAAGACGCGTGGCAACAGCTGTGAGTGTGAAGCCGACGTGTTTCCGGCGAAGAAGTTTGAAGCTTGGAGAGCGGCCAAGTGAAGACGTGAGGTTTCCAGGAAGAGAAACTTCGGGGGCAGCGGAACGACAACAACGCTGGACTTTGAGTGAGTGATTCTCGGAATAGTATCATCCAGACTTTTGTTCCAAGAACTCTGGACTGAATAGGTTTTCTATCTCTTTAGTCTTTAAGTGTCTTGGTTGTTCAATGCATGCGACTGCATTGTAGTGCGTATTGTTGTCTGTTTCCGTTCTTTCGAGTTTGGCTGATTGTGCTGTGTAGTACGTTGTTTCATTGGTGACATATTGTATTCAACTACTGTGGAGTGTGCATACTTGTGTATTATTTTGATCTGCCATTATTGAGAATATAATTCTGTTTTGTTTATCAACTCTCGGCTCTGACTTGTTCTTTGGGCCACAGCCGGCGTCCGCTGGCGCGCCAAAAAGGACCCCTTCTAAATTGTCCACGCTTTCGTGGTGTGGTTCGGGGGGCCGATACTTCGGCCCTTGGAATTAGCCCGGCGATCGCCTCCCGAATTAACGGGACCTGTGACACACAGATGGTCACTGAGTGTAGTTGGTGTGCGTTGTTTAGACAGGAAGCGAGAAGACAGTGTGCAGGCATGGTGCCGACCACTGTAACAATTGTTGGCAGCTGCAGGACAGCGGCAGCGACAAAAATGATACTGGTGCACTGTGGCTACAGTGCTTGATGGTGGACCCGGATCACACGGGCATGATCAAAGTTTCTGAGGTATACTTTGATGAAGGTGGAATTCAAGAGGCCTGCATAGCATTTACATGCACATTAAAAAAACCTGAGGTGTTCGATTTTTCCAAAGACCTGAAGTGAAGTGTGCCTCGTAATCATATTGTTGTTTTAGCTCATAGAACCCGCGCAATAAATTTAATTACGAAAAGCTTTACCAAAATAATTCCTCCCCAGCGAGTGGGCTAGGCTCTGTTGCAGCTTCATAATTGCTTGCTAAGTTTCTGGAAACACCATGGCAGCTGATCACATAAAATGTCACACTACTAGACTTGGGGACGTCTGTCCCACTACTGCTGACCGCAGTGATTGCGAGAGCACCTGAGGGGGAAATGTAGAAACATTGGTTTACTTCATATTAGGTGGATGTTAAAGAACCACGAATGGTCAAACTCTTGCAATGCAGCTCAAATATTTTAACACTGTGGTTGCTGCTTCAGGCGGTGCAGTCCCCGGGGCATTCTTCTTAGGTACTGCAGGTGTTGCTGCCTTGCCGTTCCAAACAAGCTAATAACACAGTTGCGGAGAGCTTGCCACACAAGTACACTCAGTGTACTGACTTTCCCTGTCTAAGTCGAGGTTGGAGGTCATCATCGAGAGAGCTGCTGTGCTTGCTGTTCTCGTCACCGCTGTCATCGCTGACACTGTCAAAGCCTATGTCACCTTCGAAACAAAGGTTGTGCAACACTGCACATGCAGCAACAGTACTGGAAGAACGTTCAGGTGAGTAGTGGGGGGGTACAATGCCGCTGAATGGAGTGAAAACGCTCTTCAGTAACCCATTAAAATGCTCCACTATGGAATGCAATGAAGCATGTGCAGAGTTGTACTTGATTTATGCGCTATCCATGGGAGGCACACCCTTTCTGAAATATTTTCGATATCTCACAAGGGCTTTTATGGAGCTCAAATTCAGTAGATTGGCGTGTCATACTTCAAGGGCTATGGCATCATGTGTTAGACATCAATTATGGGCAGGTATGAAGAAATCTTCATCAAGAAAGCACGCCGGAGGAGCCGAAGCGCATAGCAGTTCCTGCACGCGGCGCGCGGCTTTTGCAGTACTATTCGACTGCAGCGTCGCCGCTGCGGGCAACGCGGAAGGAACCAGGCGGTACGCCTTTATAAACTCGCGACGGGGTCACGCCACTCAACACTTCTAGTACACTCTATCTCGGGGCGGCGAACGTAAACAAAGTCACGTGGGACTCCGAGGAGGAATGCGGCGTGGCGCGATGTCAACAAACTCCGACACGTGTGTAACGGGCCTTTTTACAGGCGCGTGAAAAGGTCGACATCATAGAAAAAGTTCAGCATGGCCTCGAAGGCCGTAAGGAGCGTTATACGACGCGCGCGGCGAAACCGTAGGTGGTCGAGACTCACGTGTGGCAGTCCCAATCGGCCGTATGCATCGAAGAGCCGCCGGCGTTGGTCTGCGTAGCCGGGGCACTGCAGCAGAACATGCTCGATGGTATCATCCACCGGGCATAACGCACACGCCGGGCTCCGGCTGTTGGTGCGGCGAAATTACAGCTCACCGGTGCGGCTGCAGTCAGTGCGCAGACGGAGAAGGAAGGCACGAGCACGCCTGCCGATGCCGTTCCTCGGCAGCGGTCGAGGGGGGTTTCCCATGGCCACACGTGATGAGAAGGACACGAGCGCTAGCGCTCGTGTCCTTCTTGTTTTTGTGTCATCGTTTTATTCTCGCGCTATAACTATTGTCATGTCATACCAACTAACCCAAGCTGCCACACTTCTAAGCCACACGTGAGTCGGGATGTAACGACGATAGTTACAGCGCGAGAACAAAACGACGACACAGAGACAAGAAGGACACGAAAGATCCTTCTTGTCTCTATGTCGTCGTTTTGTTCTCGTCCTATAACTTACGTCATGCCATACCAACTAGCCCAAGCAGCCACACTTCGGGATGTAAGGCGCGCACATGGCGCGCAATACGAAAGTGCGCTACACCACCCGCGCGAACTAACTATTGACGGGGGTGGACGGGTGGTGGGCCTCCTTGGCCAGGGCCTCCGCGGGCTCGTTGCAACGTAGTCCAATATGCGAAGGCACCCACTGAAAAATCACATCACAGCCCCTCCGCACAATCACCACGAACTTCCACACGAGGCTCTGCGCAATGGGGACACCACGTTCTCACTGAGAAGGTACTCGCCAGTCATATTCGCGGACCCACGCAGATGTGGCTGTCGTCGTCCAATCCCGGTCGGAGCGGGTCCATGGTGAGGATCGACATGTCCGCGATGCAAATCTGGGAAAACCAAGAGCAGTGGGAAGCACGTTACACTGCAACAAACAAACAAGAAAATACGCACGAGAAAATAGTACCAGCGCACTACTTACGAACATGACGTTGAGGGCAAAATAACCTTCGCGGCGCCAGAAGGGCGTCTACTGCTCACTCCTCGATGCGACGAAGCTGCCGTCAACGCATCCGATCGCGCCGGGTAGGGGCCCAAACCAAAGGAATTCCTCTTTCACGGCTGCCTTCTCCTCCGCAGTTCTCAGGAAGTGTACGCACTTGTTGCGGGTCCCGGCATGTACGATCGCTCGAGCGACACGTCGCACACTGATGCTGACCGCGGGATGCCTCACCGCTACAGTCTACTCGCCTTCCACCGACGACTGCAAGGATGCTGTGGCGAAGAAACGCAGGGCCCACACCTTTGCCGCTCCACTGAGAGCGCAGCCCGCGAGGCCCTTCTTCGCGCAAACACAACACTGTTGCTTTACTCAGGCGAAAGTGGCGTCCAAACTGTTCGTCTGGCATGTCAAACGCGACCTCAACATCCCTCCGGCGCTTGTTGTAGGCCACGTTCATGTAACCAAATGTTACAGCGGAGGTCGCTGGCTCAGCCAGCACCACAATTTTTCCTATTCCGTTTGCGACGGGCCCACTCGCTGGCTGTTCCGCCGTAGCGCGGAACCGATTCCGTCCATAATAAGCGCATACTTGTCATTCTGACGTCACCACGATTTGGGCTTCCGAATAGTCACTTGATTGGCAAGTTGAACGACCAATCAGGGAGCGCCAGTGGCTAAAACAGAATAAGAAACACGGAATAGCAGTTCGTTATACGGCCACAGCTTTAAGGGTTTTCGCGAGTTTTTTTCCGGGACGGTCGCAATTTTTCGCTCCTCCCGTGGGTTATTTTCGACGCCCGTTTCACGCCTTCAGGCGCACAGCCCTTCTTAGGGCTACCCTAGTCTTGGGTCCGCCTGTACTTCGGTACCGGGCTCGGGTCAACCAGAACCTTAAGGCTGACTTCCACCCGAAGCAGCAAAAGCTTCAGGATGCGTCTTCAACACCGACGCTTCGCGACCGACGACCATGGCCGTCTGCAGCAACATCGCAAAGCTCGCCTTCGGGCGCGCACGAGGAATAGCGCTCCATCGAAGCCGCGCCGACTCGGGCAAATCCCTCGGAGACGGACGAATCGTCCGCCTCTAGTTCTTCATGGGAACACCGAACACCACCGTCGTCGTCACCAAATAGTCACGACACGACATGGG